CTTAACCCTAACCCTATGTGATGTCGGCTAAATGAGCGTTCGGTAAAATGATTGTCGGTGAATTGATCGGAACCCATAAATAAGTTACCCGGGTAATTGATTTGCATTAGCCAATCAAACGAATTTCTTCCTTTGACTTTTAATTTACAAATCGATTAGTAATCAATTTAAAACTTACGTACCTAGCTTTAGACAGATAATACACTAAGTCATGCCGAAATCAATAAATTATCGAATCAGGCAATTTTTCACCAGATGTTCCAAAATTTATGAGATCAATAAATTGATTCGAGCGAGAATAATTCGAAAATCAAGTTCATCTATGGCTTATCACTTTATCAACCTAGTACATATCTTCCTGGAGTGCCCAAGACCAATCCGAATTAAACCCGGGTTTACAAATTAGCGAAAATAAATAAATATTTAACATGTAGTTATTTTTATTTGCCTATTTAAAATCATATATTTCTCAATTAACTCGGGTCATTACTATCCAAGGTCGTGCTCCTAACAAATTCGTTCGATTAGAAACATTATACTTAATTAACAATAAATATTATTATTATTATTAATGAATAAACTAGAAATTGATTAATAATTAGACCACGAAATATTATTCTATTTTTAATATAATTATTAATCGGTTAAAATCATAAATAGGTAGTTATCAATTATAAGGTTGAAATAGAGATGTATCCGATTAAAATTTATGATTTTATTCGAAAAATTAGTCAAATAAACAACGAAAATATCCAATTTTTTGTTCAATAAAATTGTGATAATAAATATTGAAAATTCACTTTGTAAATTCGTTATCAAGAGGTATAAATTTAATGGATTAAAACTCTTATATTGAATATGAAATTCGTTATCAAATAGGATAGATAATATCTAAATGATATAAATAATGTAAATTGTAAATAACATAAAATAGCAATTAACATTATCTAAATTTAATTATCAAGCTAAATAATTCCATCTTAAGCTTGGGATATCTCAGAATACAACTTTTCAATTTCCTTTTGGAACTTAATTTTAGCCTGATGCCTCTTCAATTTAAAAGTAGGAGTTAACAAATCATTTTCTAAACTAAAACTCTCAGATATCAAATGTATATTTTTCACATTTTCAAATCCTTTCAGATCATTTGCTTTACCATGATTAATTAAGGATTGAAGAACATGTTTCTTGGTTTCTGGAAGTTCGCATAGCTCTTCAAATGAGTGTTTTTCCAAATGATTTTGTTTTGCCCATGAGATTAGGGCATCACGATCTGGCACAATTATAGCAACTAATGATGTTTTAAGTGATTCACCATATATAAATGCTTGAGCGACTAATTCATGTTTACAGTAAACGTTTTCAATCTATATAATAAATAAATTTTTGTAAAAAAAATAAAGTATTTTAACAGAAACAAACAAAACAATAAAACACAAAGTACCTTTTCAGGAGCAATATATTCACCCTGAGCCAGTTTAAAAATATTTTTAACACGATCAATAATTACAAGTCTACCTAATTCATCCCACATTCCAATATCACCAGTATGGCACCAACCATCTTTATCAAGTACTTCGCTTGTTTTCTTTGGTTCTTTGTAATATTCTTTAAATACAGAATTGCCTCTAACACATATTTCACCTCTTGGATGTGGTTCATCCTTTGATGTATAGTTCATTTCAGGTACATCTACTAACTTAACTTCAACGCATACTTGTGGGGGTCCTACATGACCTGATTCCAGATCTCCGTATAGCGTCTATGTTTAAATAACAATATAATGTATTTCGTAAGCATAAAATATTCAAAATTGGGTTTTCCAACTAATTTAATACTGTACTGGTAAATTGGTCAAATTATAATATACATGTTTTTGTAATTATTATTATATTCGTATAGTTATATCCATTTGACCAGATTTACAAATGACAACTTTAAAGCAATATAATAAATAAGAAATGATACGCACGAATGACAAAGCAGCAGAATTTTCAGTTTGACCATATCCTTCAAAAACATTAAGGGAAAAGCAAATTTTCAAAAAATCCATAACATCAGGAGAAATAGGAGCAGCAGCAGACAAAATTGCTCTAACTCTACCACCG